TTTTTTTTTTTTCCAGTGTTTGCAATGATGAGTTTAATAAGCTTTGACAGAATGAGTGAACGAAAGGATTGGAATGGGGTTTAAATCGTTTTTAACACGGTATAATCGCCTTCGAATAATTAATAATTGTTAACTTCTCTTACGTGTGGATATTATTTGAAATAATTCACTGAAATGATGTTTCGAAGGGAGCACGTCGAGGGCTATAATTCATCGTGATGTTATAAATGCTAGAGTTTCTGGCAGTCTCGTGGAAATTCATGAGATTATTTTAAAATTAAAGTAAATTTAAAATAATCATAAAATTCGTAATGCGATGAGGGTGAGCATGAGAATTGCGGACCCGAGAAGAAAAAGAAGATGCATAATGCGTGACAGGGAAATTTTTTAGAACAATCTCTAAAATAAATATGTCTATGAAATTCGAAATGTTCGAAGAAGAACTCGCGCCGAAGATAGGAGAAAGGAGATGATCTCTGTCTGAATACAAAATTAGTGGCAATTTCCCAGAATGAATGCAATTATAAAATTCATAATGTTCAAAATTGCACGATGCACGGAATCCTTAATATCTCCGTGCAGCTTTCTAGTTCCCTCTAATAATTTATAAGGCGAACGTAGTTATGAATATTCGAAAAATTTCAGCGCGAGAAATACCCCCGGGCGAGAAAGGGTAGAGATATTTGCTTCGAATGTAAAAACACTGTTTGTTGCCTGATATCTTGAATTCAAATTTTCATATTACAATCGCGTGTAATTCCACGTTCCAATAGTATTTTCAAAACGTAAAGACGAACAAACTTCGACTGCAGAGTCGAACCAATCGCCGACGTATTTTATACGAAATTATTTTTCATAAAATTTTCACGTCTCCTCGCGCGTTCAATTAGTGCAACGATAATCGTACTTTGGATAAATCTCGATCGGACCAACTTCTATCTTTATTCTCCATGTTTATCCGTGTTTGAACAAGGCTCCTTCGCCAGGAAAAAAGGGCATTTTTACTCGCCGGGAGCATGAGAAAGCACACGGTTTATTGACAAAATAAGCATATGCAAATGTGTCGTGAATGGTCGGCCAGCGTGATTTGTCTGAAAACTTCCTGTGCCCCGTGGTCGTTCGTTCCGCCTATAAATCACGTC